GCACTCTACAGCAATGTAATTTGGTATAAAAGATTAAAATGTCTCCGTCAAATTTAGTGAAAATCGATTCAGAATTGGATATGCCTTCCTCTGAATCCAAACTATAACTGCTCTAAAGCCAAATGTTGATAGGTGGTCTAATTCAATTTATTACGGGAGCTCTACTACATATGCATAGTGGTGTAGGGTATCATATAGTTGGCCCGCCCGACTTTTGACTTTTCCTAAATGATTAGCGTTAGAATCTTGACAATTCGCACAATTGGTGGTATGGTATTGTTGGTATTGTTAAGCTAAAATGTTGATGCTAATAAATAAATAATTATAATAAAATAGTCTGTTAAAATCTTAAAAATATCGAATATAGGGTGTTACCGCTATATTTTGAGGTCTATACGAACACGTGGACCTGTATAAGCAATTTTTGGCATAGGCCATTACAATATTCAAATACGAAACGTGAAAATAGACAATTTTCTGTCAAAGACTGTTGAAGCTAGAGTGATTTCCACCGACGGACGGACTGACAGACATCGCTAACCGACATAGAATTTTATACTTATCAAGACTTTTTGAGATCTAAAATGTATACTTCGATGTGTTATACACGGAATGACAAACTAAATATACCCTCCATACTATGGTCGTGGGTGTAAAAATGGCACAACATTGATATTGAGCGGTCGATAAGAACTTTAACCTGAAATGTGTACCACTATTAGCGTAGACGCGGTGGGATAGCGGCAGATTTTTGAAACAGCTACAAAATGGTACTTCAAGACTATCAAAAATTAAAAATTTTACACACAATAAAATTTTCTGTCCAAAACTATTTCAACGTCCCAATATGAAAACCCTAGAAACCCTAGTATTTATACCCTACACCACAAGGTGGTCAGGGTATTATGTCTTTGTGCATTTGTTTTTAACAGGCAAATAGAAACGAGATAGACCCATAGTTCCCTTTGATGATCTGCACAGAATCACATTCTGAGTCGATTTATGCATGTCCGTCCGTCCGTCTGTCCATGTATTTTTGTAAACAAAGGACAGGTCGCGATTATTGCCCGATCCAGATGAAATGTTGCACAGATAATTTTTTGGCCCAAGGACGAATCCTATTGAAATTGGAGATAATCGGTAAAAATTTAGATATAGCTCCCATATATATCTTCGTCCGATTTGCCTTTTATTGTGCACCAAACGTGTAATATAGTATGGAATTTCGCACATACAACCAAATTTGGCCTGAAAATAAGTATGCCAATTTTTATCGAAATCGGTTCAGATATAGCTATAGCTCCCATGTATATCCTTCATCCGATTTGTTATTTTTGTCCTCCGCAGCCGTTATATGCACTCTGCAACAAAAATATTTGGGGAAATATATCAAATACAGCTCAGAAATACATTTGGCAAACTTTATCGAGATCGGTTCAGATTTGGATATAGCTCCTATATATAACTTCGTCCGATTTACCTTTTATTGTGCACCAAACGTCTAATATTTGTCTAAATGGGATGAAATTTGGCACTTACGACCGAATTGAGTCCAGAAGCTAATATGTAAAATTTGGTGAAGATCGGTTCAGATATAGCTATAGCTTCCATATATATTGTTTATCCGATTTGTTGTATTTGTTACCCACAGCCGTAATATGCAATCCGTAACAACGATATTCAGGGAAATATATCAAATACAGCTCAGAAATATCTTTGCCAAATTTTATCGAGATCGGTTCAGATCTGGATATAGCTCCCATATATATCTTTATCCGATTTCAAATTAATTGTGCACCAAATGGGCAATACAAGTCCGAATTTAAAAGATACAAATGCTTCGACATATTTAGTCTTTTGAACTTTAAAATTTAATTATAATCATAGCGTGTATGATTGAATTCTCCCATAACAACTTTTAATTGCTATGTGGAGCTCTACTAAGTTGGCAAAGTCGGCCCCGACTTAAAAACTTTCTTTACTGGTTTTCGTATAATTATAGTACGCTTATCCAAAACCATCTCTTCTCACCAACAGTGACATCCAAATCAAATTTGAGGATTCCAGCTTTATACCTTCACCCAATACACATATCCAAAACAAAACGCCTATAGTGGTCAAAACTGGTACCATTTATTTCTTTTCGAACAATTATAATACGTATTTGAAAAACGACCACCACATCTCAAACCAGATACCAACAGAGACCTAAGTATTAAATTTCGGGATTCCAGCTCTATACGTGCACTCAATACCAAATTTAGTAATACTTAGTACTTTTCGAACATTTATACTACACATTTCCAAACCCAACTCCATATCCTAACCACAGACACCAACAGTGACGTCTGTATCAAGTAGATACCAAATTTCTTAATTTCATACCAAATACCAAGATTTCAATCACTAATCTAAATGTTCGCACATTTAGTAACACATTCCATTAGTCCAACACAAAATATTCAATGTTTAGTACATTAGTTTAAACGTTTTAAAACGTCGGATCCGTTTGGATACATTGTTGAAAGCTCAACCCGTCCTTGACATTCAAGCAGTATAACAATATCACATGGTAGTGAAAAATGATTTTCGAACTTTTGGTATAAATATGGGGATATTTCGAGGAATTCATAAGTCCGTAGCCGTTTGGTTTGAGATTGGCCATTTTCGTTTTTAAGAATTGCTATAGAATCTTCACTATTGACATTTTCTCTTGAAAAGCTGTGTGAACTTCAATGTGACTTACATTTTTACGAAACTTTCTTCCATCAATAGGTTTGTACGTACATCTTGTTTTAACGTCAATATTTTTTGTCTTCGGTTTATTAATGGAAATTTCGGAAGGTATCATCGATTCTTACGGGCAGATATTTCGTTTTTACGGGCAGATATTTCCTCCACAGAACTTAAATTGCCCAAAATAAGCGGGGTTTCTTCTCAGGAGTATTTATCTTTCTTTCCAATTTTAATTATATTTTTAGACGTAAAAATTGCGTCAATTTAGTTTGAAAAATTAATTGAGAATCCAAGGCACACGTTTTCAAATTTTATTGACTCCAGTATTTCATTTTGTGTATATTGTATTGTATATGATACCCTACACCATTATGCGTATGTAGCAGAGCTCCCGTAACATATCTCCTGGCGAGAATATCCCAAAAAAAGGGGGAAATGATGAGGATTGGTGACTCTTTCCGAAACCTAGGTATTCCCAGCCTTACCCCCGGGTTACATTACCAACTAACAAAAAACATTTTTTTTATAAAAACAACAATAATGGGATTAAGCTTGACTATTTTTCAACGACGAAAGGTTATATTGGGAATGTATGTGAAATAGATCATACCAACTATGAACCTTATTTGAATTCGTATCATGGTTTTAGAGTAGTCACAATTTGGGAATTATATCCAACTCTGAATCGATTTTAAACAAATTTGACGGAGACTTTTGTGCATCTAGTTCAAGACTCGGGAAAGAGTATCCCATGGGATATCTGTGTGTTCACTAACACAATTGTAAAAAATAAATTGTTTTGAATTTTCTGTCAAATTGTAAAGATAGGCAAAAAAACATTGCTATTTTTTGTTATTTTAATACACATAAAATAACAAAAATTTTTTTGGGGCTATCTGCCTAGCCCTTTTCTAGTTCTAAATAACATTGCTGCTATATTAAAAGCCCGAGTTTCACCAAATGGAAAAATTAGGTTGAATATCAAAAAGTCTATTCAATATGAGATGATATTACATATAACCGTAACATCGGATGAAGATGTGTATCGAAGGTATATAAAGATCTGAACCCATCTCGATAAAATTTGGCAGAGGTATTCTCGAACTGTATATCTTCTCTTTAGTTCTTTTGTGTCTATTTTCTTTCTGTTGCGGTGTAAGTACTTGCACTTTTTGGAATTTCAATGGCTTTACCCCGAGCTCACTTTTTAAAATTTGCCGAATGGAATATTGCGATATGTTCAGCTCACGAGCCATTTTTCGACCACTGCGACACTCTTTGCAATCAAGTAGCTTCTTTACTTTTCGAACCATTTCTGCTGATGTTGCTGTTTTCTTCCGTCCACTTCCTTGACGTCGGGCTACGCTACCAGTATTACGGTAACGAGCGATGGTACGAGACACAAAAGATTTATTCATAATTAAATTCTGGAGTGCTCTAACGATAGCAACTTGGAGTTTTCCAGTCAAATATAAAGAAATCACACTTTCACGCTTGAATTCCATTATGGAAAATTTTCACTAAGATGCTTTTGTACGCTTGTGAACAATATATGAGCTGTCACTGGAATAATTTTAACATCTGTCGGACGAGTAGCTTAGGAATGACAGCAGTGGGAAGTTTGTTACAGTTTTTTAATCTCGCCCTGTATATTGATAATTGTTTGATAGCAGTTAAAACTCAAATTACGAAAATTTGGCTAAGGGTTATACCTAAAATTGGATTTTAAACCAAATGGCAGCCAGCAGTGGGAAGTTTGTTACAGTTTTTTAATCTCGCCCTGTATATTGATAATTGTTTGATAGCAGTTAAAACTCAAATTACGAAAATTTGGCTAAGGGTTATACCTAAAATTGGATTTTAAACCAAATGCTCCTGAAATAATTCAATGCTCCCTATGAATTTTAAAAACTCATTGTTTAATATTGCGAAATTTATCTCGAAATGTTGCGGTCCTTTGAATATGGCCAAGGCTGTATAACTTTCAAAACGCTAATTCACCTGTTTCTTTGTTGAGCCCTTTTTTCATAATCTATTGAGTTTCTCCTGTAATTATTGCTTGTGCTACACAGTGTATTTTTAAAACCCGACTTCTATCAACAAAAAGTTCCCAAACAATTTCAATAAATCTGTTTATATTTTGGACATGGTTCATAAAGAAAATAAATTAAATATTTGCAATAAATTAAAAGCATGAAAATGGAAAATTTCGATGAAATTATAAATTTTGGCAATGATTCAATTTCGATGTCTCTATATGGGACTTAAGCACTGCAGTAGCAACCATCCTTGGTATTCGATTCAATCCAGCTCAAGAATTTTGTAACACGGGCATAAACACCAGGAGCATTAACCTGGGCGCAGCCATAGCCAAAGGAAACAACACCTAAGAGGAAAAAACAAACGAACATGATTAAAAATCGATTGAAATATTTTTAGTAATTTTGAAATACATACCAGCCAATTTGAAACGACCCTCGTTAACAATCAATGGACCGCCACTGTCACCTTGGCAGGCATCCTTGCCGCCCGATTTCACCAAACCAGCGCATAGCATAACATCTTGAATTTTGTTCTTATATCTGGTGCGACGACATTCTTGATTGGAAATAATTGGAACAGTAGCTTCTTGCAAATAGTTGGATGTTTGACCACCCTCCTTCAATAGACCCCAACCGGCAACAACGGCATTCTTGCCATCAAAGTTTTGATTAGCATCTGGCAAACATACGGGACGGATTTTGTCATTGAAGGGTACGGGGGACTCCAATTTCAACAAGGCAACATCATTGGCAATGGTGTTGGGATTGTATTGTGGGTGGACAATGGTGCGGGCAACCTAAAGAGAGGAAATTGTATATAAAATTTAGTAAATGGGCAATGTAGGAAAACGTTTTACGGTTTATTGAAATGTTGACTTCTTAAAGAAAATCAGGGGCCTTAACTTTAACCCTTTGAAGGTAATGCCCGAATGTTTTTCAATTTTCGCCAAACACTTAAGTGATGCGAAAAGTTTGGACGCGTTGAGAATCATTGAAGAAATAGGGATTTTTACAAAAAGGAGTGGAAAGATATTGTTAGTTTTCGAAATGAATGTGAAGAGTTTGGAATGGAACGTATAAAACCTCGTGGTGTTGTCAAGCGCAACATCCATCCATAGCAAATAGCGGTTATGGCTACACCATTAGTCCTCAAACGGATTTCGTCCAAAGGAAAAGTTTGTCAAAACTCATTTGTTCGCTGAGGCACATGTTTGACCGTATGACTTAATATGTACCCTTTGCAGCCATAAGGCTGATGAAAGAAAAATCAGGGAGGTTCTGGATAATGTGCCACATTAGACGTAGAAATCTACATCTTCTTCTATATATGTTCCGAGATGATACAAAGATCTTCCCGTAGAAGTTCTGTACATATTCTCATAGAAGATTTGTGTAGATTCTATAAAGCATTTGTAGAACTTCTCATAGAGCAAAATTTCTTGATCTTCTCACGACTTTCCCAAGGAAGATCTAAATTTCTTTTCCGGATTCAATTTATTTTCAAGATTTTGATAGGAATGCTGTCTAGATCCTTTCAAGGATAATTTCAAGATCTTATTAAAGCAGATTCCAGGATCTTCTCGAGTAATCTCAGACGATTTCAGTATCATCTGAGATTTTCTCCAGGAACTTCAGAAGAGGAAAATCTGAGATTATTCTCAATAAAGATCTTCTTCAAGAGAATGTCAAAATCTTTTCAATTCAGGTCTCATGGTCTTCTCAGGGGTGATGCCAAGATCTTCTCTCGTATGATTTAAAGATATTCTTAGGGAAGATTCCAGAACCTTCTCAGGAAAGATTTCAAAACCTTTTAAGGAAGATCTCTAAGTTTTCTGAAGGAAGATTTCGAGATTTTGTCATGAATGCTCCCAAGATCTTCCTCAAGAAGATCTGAAGATTTTTTCGAATAATATTTTAAGATCTTCTCAAATTAGAGGAAAATCTCAGGTTGTTTTGAAGGAAAATTTAAAAAAAAACTTTACATGGAATATCTCAAAATTTTCTGAAGGAAGATCGAAATCTTGTCAGGAGAAATCACAATACCTTCTTAAGGTAGATTTCATGATCTTCTTAATTAAAATCTGAAGATCTTCTCAAGAAGGATCTCAAGATCTTATCAGGGAAGATATCAAGACCTTCTCAAGGAAGATATATATGTATTGTCAGGAATGATCTCAAAATCTTGTCAAGGAAGATCTTCTCAGAGATGATCTCAAAATCTTCTTAGGTTAGATTCAAGATATCCTCAAGGAAAATCGTAAGATTTTAATAACTCTTTTTGAAAGATTTCAAGACCACCTCAAGGAAGTTCTTCTCTGGTTTTCTCAGAAAACCTTCAGGAACATTTCAAGATATTCTCAAGATCTTCCCACAATACCTTCCCAAAGAAAATCTCAAGATTTTTTCAAGGATGATCTCATGATCTTTTGGAGGAAGATCTCAACATCGTTTCAAAGCAGATTTCAGGATCTTCGCGAGGAAGATCTGAAGATTTCAAGACCTTCCTGGAGTTCTTTTCAAGAAAGGGTTTCTTAAGGAAGATCTGCATATTGTCTCTTAGAATAGTTTTAAGTATCCTAGGTCTTTACAAAGGAGGTATATCTTCACATGAAAAATCTGAAAATCTTCTTATAGAAGATGTGTAGATGTTCTCGAGGAAGATCTTTCCCAGAAATCTGATAATTAATCCTCCTTCAGAAACTTACCATAATCTACCCACATTTTTAATTAAACTGAACCTCGGTGGTTCACAGTGAGTCTTAAATCTGACAAAACACATTTTTAACATATTAATTACCGTCTCGATGCATGAGAGTACAATATTTGAAATAGAATTTAAAAAATCAAAAGAAATGATAATATCTCATACCAGGCAATATACGAGGTTCACGGTTTCCTGATTTCGGTAGCCTGATTTAATGGAAAATTACTTGAAAAAAATGTAAATTTGTAAATTTTCCATATTAAAATTTTCACGTATTTCAATACATCCGAGATTATTTATAAATAATCAAACAATGGTCTTTCATCTCACTGTGTTACTGTAAACAATACCCTCCGAATTGTTCCTTTCTTTCTTTTTTGCAGTTATAAAAATTCCTTTCTCAACGAAACGGAAGAAAAACCCCTCCATAAAATAACGTTATGCGGAAGGTAACTGAATACCCAACGATTAATGTAATGATTTCTCACCTTTCTGGTAATGCCAGGATCCCGAGATGATCTGTCCAATTGCAATAAGCGGATTGTTATCTGATCACGATTACCGTGGACACAATGGGCAGCAGTCAGCACATAGCGATCATTAATCAAAGAGCCACCACAGAAGAGACGCAAATAATGGCGACCTTTTAACAGTTGGGCTGTCCAGGGATATTTGTTTTGGCGCACCTGTGTGCCACCAACAATGCGATTGCCATTTGGTGCACCACAGACTAAAAGTAGAATCAAAAGGAATAAAAATTATTATTATTTCAGGAAACAAGATAAGGGATAGGTTTCAAAAGGATGTATTCAGATGCGCTCGAAACTTACAGCATTTGCTTTTGCAGTTATAGCGTTGAGGCTTAGCCTTGCCGAAACCACTCTCGCCAATATCAACATCAAAGGCACCCAAAACTTGATCAAAACTCTCTGCCGCGGTTTCATCATAACGTTGCACTTGGGCCGTTTGAGCTTGAGGTGGCTCATAGACATATTGTCCTTGGGCGGATACCCAAAGTAGGGTGCAAACTACCAAGAATTTCATTATATTTTACTACACTTTTTGGAAATATTTTTTTATTTTAATTTTTGTTTTACAACTCTTTTCTTTTTACACAACTGAGCTCTTTCACCTGCCCAGTTGAAATGTTTGCACTGGAAAAGGCTTCGTGTCTTCTTATAGTTTCGATTTTTTATTGATTAAAATTCAATATTTGTATCGTTTTAGCACACACAGACACACATAGCTTTACCTTTCTTTCGTAAGTTTTGCTATATTCTTATATGTGCTTTCTTCGCCATAACAGTTGTTCTTGTTATTGTTGTTGGCAACAAAAACAACGAAAGAAAGTCAATGCTTCAGGTGATGCGAACGGCCTTAAGTGTCTGTTTGTTTTCTGGAGCGACGGCACTTCATGGATCGCTGCCGTTCGGATTAGCGATTTTGATGGTTCGATTTTATTGCTGCTCTTCTTCGTCGGAATATTGTAAAATGTTAATGGGATTTTGGCGATTATTAAGGGTTTTTAAAATTGGTTTGGTTTTTGCCAAATAGCGCTGTTGTTGTTGTTGGCGCTTTTATTTATTTATGTATATTTGACAATAACTAATTTACATTTTCGGCCAACTTAATTTTATCTCTTTTATTCAGTCATTGTTTGTTTTATTAAGAGATTTACGCTACAGTTTTTTTTATATAACAATACAAATTGCTTTATCGAATTGATGAATTTTGGAGTGTTATGCCCCCAGCATCGGAAGTGTGTATGTGAAAACATAACAAAACATAAGAGGCGCTAAGTTGAGGTGGGTCGAATATAAGATGTTGAGATCAATCATAATTTTTGATCTTGCCGAAATATGTCCATGATATTAAAATGCATATTTGAACCTGGATTTCGGAGCCGGAGTTGTAGTCAAACCATTATGGTGGACTTGGCGCAAGTGTCTGCGTCGAAAAAATATTCGACTCCAAATCCGGGTAGTAATGTTTCTATATTCTATGTGTTTAGAGTGTTATTAATTTGAATAGCATAAATCGAAATATTGATTTTAGATCCACCCCGTTAAGGGAGATTTTCAAAGAGCTATAGGACAGTTTAAAAGAAGAACAAAAACTACAAGTAAAAACATGAAAAAAACCGGGCCGAACTTTGAATATCCTCTACCATTTGGAATGAATTTGGCAATTTTCAAAAAAATCGAATTCCTTAAAAATTTTGTTAAACGAATGTAGCCGTTATATTAGGGTCTATACGACGACGTGGACCTGCATAGGCGATTTCTGTCATAAGTCATTACAATATTCCAATGCGAAAAAATCGGTGAATAATGTAACAAAAATCATCAAACTACCGACTATAGGGAGATTCCATTTTATTGGGGATATACCAAAACGTGGACCTGCACACGAAATCTTTTGTCATGGGCTGTAGTACCCGTAACGAACTTAAGATACGAAACTTGTAACAATTCCGGTGAACAATGTCGCGAAAATCATCAAAATTTCGAATATCGGGAGGTATCGTTATATGAGGGCTATACGAAGACGAGGACCTTGATGACCCATTTTCAATACCAAATGTCCTGCAGATATAATAAATATTTCAGTAAGATTTTATCAATCTACCTCATTTCGTCCGAAAGCTAGAGTGATTTCTACAGACTAACGCAAATCGCTAAATCGACATAGAATTTTATGCTGTCAGGTCTAAAATGTATATTTCGAGGTGTTACAAACAGAATGACAAACTTAATATACCCTCCATACTATGGTGGGTGTAAATTGGTATAAGAAAGCTGAGAAATCTATGAAAGCTTTAATAATTATAACTTGAAGATTATTTCATGCAAATGTTGACCGCGACTGCTTTTCAAATGGTCCATCCGCTTCGACCATATTTGGTATAATCTTTTCAATATTCCGGACGATATCTCATGAATAAATACTTCAACATTGTCTTCCAATTCGTCATTTGAAGCGGGTTGCTCTGTATAGACATGAGTTTTGACACCGCCCACAAAAAATAGTCTGAAGGCGTTAAATCGCACTATCTAGGCTGACAATTGACCGGTCTTGAACGTCAAATAAAATGTGCACTAAACTCGCTTCTCAATAAGTCTATTGTTCAGCGTGCTGTTGTTGAAACCACATGCCAGGCAAGTCAGGCTTTTGCATTTTGGGAAAAATAAGTTACGTTGCGGACACTTTGGTAGCATTGGCAATACTTCTTCAAATAAAAAATTCGTAAAAAATAAGCTTCGTCTCTGAACACAATTAGCGCGATGAACTTTCTCTGGAGATCACGCATATCGATAATTCAATGATTTACAAGCCTTTTAGACCAATTTTAACATGTGTTTAAAACAATGTCGCCAAAAAGAAAATAGCTAATAAAACACCCTTTATTACTTAGTCAAATTTGGTGAAAATCGGTTCAGATATAGCTATAGCTCCCATTTACATGTTTCAGCGGATTTGAGGTTTAAGTCCCTCGCACTCGTAATATGCACTCCCCCAGAATGATATTTGGTGCCAGATATCAGATGAAACCCTGAAATATCTCTACCATATTTTATAAAGATCGGATCAGATTTGAATATATCTTCCACTTAAATCAATTTTCGAAGTGATCGAAGCACCGTCTTCTCTGACGGAAAATTTTTTCTACAGGTGCCATCCGATATTCTTATTTTAATAATTTCAGATGCCATTCTGCAAATTTATGAAATTTTGTAAGTTCCGGTAGTTGCTTCTTTAATTGCTATACCCTACACCCTGTTCAGATATAGCTATTGCTCCTATATATATGTTTTATCCGATTTGGTGTTTAAGTCCCTCTCATTCCTAATATACATTCGACAACAATGATATTTGGTACAAGATTTCTTATAGAGCTCAGAAATGCCTTTGCCAAATTTTATCGAGATCAGATACGATTTGGACATAGCTCCCATATATATCCTTCAGGTTTATTGTGCAAATAATGACTAATATCAGCCCAAATTTTTACCCCCACCATACATAGTATGGAGGGTATATTACACATTCTTGATCAGCGTAAAACTCTAAGACGATTTAGCCCTGTCTGTCTGTTATAATCACGCTACAGTCAAAACGAATTAAGATAGGAAGCTACAATTTTGCACATATCTGTCTTTTGTCTGCAGACAAGTCAAATTCGAAGTTGTGCTATATCGGTCCTCGATATCGTATAGCCCCCATATAATGGTACCCGCCGATATTCGGTATCTTGATGACTTTAGCCACATTTTTCAATAGAATTGTCTAAAATTCTACACAAAGAGTTCCTTGTGAGTACTTTATCCCCTGGAAGAGAATTATCTATATCGCTCCCCGATATCGTATAGCCCCCATATAAAGGTTTGTCAATGGAATTGTCTAAAAAACCACAAAAGGAGTTCTTTGTGGGTACATTATACCCTGGAAGAGAATTGTCTATATAAGTCCACGATATCATATAACCCCAGATAAAGTTTCCTTCCGATATTCGATATTTGGTGATTTTTGCTACGTTATTCACCGGAATTGTTTCAAATTTCGTATCTAAATTTCGGAACTCATTGTGGGTGTTTTTATACCCTACACCACATAGTGGTAAGGGTATTATGTCTTTGTGCATTTGTTTGTAACATGGAGAAGGAAACGAGATAGACCCATAGTTACTTTTGAGAACCTTCATAGAATCACTTTCTGAGTCGATTTATGCATGTCAGTCCGTCTGTCCGTCCGTCCGTCCGTCCGTCTGTCCATGTATTCTTGTGAACAAAATGCAGGTCGCATTTATTATCCGATTGAGATGAAATTTTCCAAACAATATTTTTTTGGCCCAAGGACGAACCCTATTGAAATTGGTGAGAATCGGATCAAATTTAGATATAGCTCCTATATATATCTTCATCCGATTTCGGGTTAAATGTGCACCAAATGTCCACTATCAGTCCAAATTACCTGAATTTTGGCACACCCAACCGTGTTCGGCCTAGAAGCAAGTATATCAAATTTGGAGAAAATCGGTTCAGATATAGCTATAGCTCCCATATATATCTTTCATCCGATTTGATCTTTAAGTCCCTCACATTCCTACTATGCACTCCACAACCGTGATATTTGGTACCAGGTATTAGATGGAGCACAGAAATAGCTGTTTTAAATTTTATCGAAATCGGTTCAGATTTGGATATAGCTCCCATATATATCTTCATCCAATTTCGGGTTAATTGACCACCAAATGCCCAATATCAGCCCAAATGGCCCGAATTTTGGCACATGTGACCGAGATTAGCCTTAAAGCAAATAAAACAAATTTGGAGAAAATCGGTTCAGAAACAGCTATAGCTCCCATATATATCTTCATCCGATTTCGTGTTAAATGTGCACCAAATGTCCACTATCAGTCCAAATTACCTGAATTTTGGCACACCCAACCGAGTTCGGCCTAGAAGCAAGTATATCAAATTTGGAGAAAATCGGTTCTGATATAACTATAGCTCCCATATATATATTTCATCCGATTTGGTGTTTAAGCCTCTCACATTCGTAATATGCACTCCACAAGAATGATATTTGGTACCAGATATAAGATACAGTCCAGAAATAGCTGTTTGTAATTTTATCGAAATCGGTTCAGATTTGGATATAGCTCCCATATATATCTTCATCCGATTTCGGGTTAATTGTGCACCAAATGGCCGATATAAGTCCAAATGGACTGAATTTTAGTACATCGGACCAAATTCAGCCTAGAAGCAAGTATATCAAATTTGGTGAAAATCGGTTCAGATATAGATATAGCAACCATATATATGTTTCATCCGATTTAGAGTTTTAGTCCCATACATTCGTAATATTCACTCCACAACCGTGATATTTGGTACCAGGTATTAGATGGAGCACAGGAATAGCTGTTTTAAATTTTATCGAAATCGGTTCAGATTTGGATATAGCTCTCATATATATCTTCATCCGATTTCGGGTTAAATGTGCACTAAATGGTCAATATCAGCCCAAATCACCAGTCTAGAAGCTAATACGTAAAATTTGGAGAAACCCGGTTCAGAGATAGCTATAGTTCGTAAAATGCACGATAGAATTAGATAGATTTTGATTTTGTACCAAATATCTCATAGAGCTCTGAAATGCCCTGTATAAACCTTTTTACGAGAGCTCTACTAAATATGCATAGTGGTGTAGGGTATCATATAGTCGGCCCCGCCCGACTTTTGAGCTTTCCTTACTGGTTTATATATTGGGAGTATCCTAGCCTTAAATACTTTAAACTGGCTCTTAGTATGTTCATGCTCAATAAATTTTAAATATTTCCGTCCATATAATGTAAGAAATGATCCATACCTTAGAAATCTGTCCAGCTCAGAAGAAAAGGGGAATACATTTGTAGAACACTGTTATTCCAGACATTACGACTACCGTCTTTGATTCATTGGAATTACAAAACAAAATATTAATGGTATTTTTTAATAAATCTTTGTCAAATTTCACAGCTAACAGAGATATATATCGT